CCTGTGAAAAGGACCCAGGATCCCGAGCGTGGAGGTGAGGTGCCTCGAGGAGTCTGAGGCATTGTGACCCACCTGGTCAGGGTCTTCTCCTGAATCCCTCTGTGGGATGGAGGTGGAGACTGACTTGCACTCACAGGGAGCAGCCTACAGTCCGCTTGACTGTGTCGCTGGTCCCCATAACAGGCTGCCATGCCAGGGGTAGATCTGCACCAGCCCAGTCACCAAGGAGTAACTTGTCCCCCTGTATAGGCGACACCCTGGCTGCGGGCTGAGAATGCGTCACCAGGCCTAGACAAGGCCATCAACGCTGATGAGATCCAGGGACCTACTCAGCAGACTGTTCCCTGAGCCACCTGGGCTGGTAGCTGTGGGAGTATTCTTAATGAAAGTCAAATAAAAACTGCTGTTCCTGGCAGCACCCACAAACGTGAAGAGAACAGCTGGCTACTAAAGACCAGCTGTCACATCTGGGCACTGGGGCCCTGCACTTGGCCACCTTTGAAAGGGGCCCAAACTATGGCGGCGGCTCCAGACCAGGCCTTGCACGTTGGCACAGCCTTGCCTTGGCCAGTGGTGTCCTCCAAACCACGGGGGTGTAGATCTTGGTGAACTGCAGCCTGTGGCAACAAAGGACCGCACTGGGGCACCACAGCCCGTGGGTTCTGAACACGTGAATCACTGAGAGGGCTGCATGCAGGCTGGCGCCGCCTCGCCTGGCCCTGGGCCCTGTGGGAAGGAGCAGCTGAGTACAGGCCTGCTGCCTGCTCTCATGGGTCCTCACTGGCCCTGTTAAGAGGGCACATTTAGCAGAGCTCCACGCTTGCACAGAGATGCTACACCCGACCTGGAGACTCAGCTGCAGGGGCTGGACTCGGTCCTGGGTCCCCCTACCCCAGCAAAGCCCAGGGCTTAAATATATCCCAGTGACGGCTTGGTTTGTTTCCCGGAGGGATCTGTGAAATTCCAAGCTGATAGCGATGGCCACCTTGCCTCGAAGGCCTGACGAGTGCTCTGCCTGGTGGCCAGACTGGGTGGACTCGGGAGGCTGTGTGGGCCACACCGACTGCAGCCCCTGCCACATTAGCAGACCGTGGACTGCTGCGAATGTACATACACGTGGCCCAGTGGCCTGGAGTAATAGCTGTCGCTTGGGGTGTCTGCGTGCTGGGGACAGGGACTGTGGGAGCGACCTGCACACCAGAAAGGAGACTGAGTCATCATTTACGATGACCCATGGCAACAAGAAAATAAAACATTTGAAGGGAAGTCGGCAAACCACTATTACTGCTGCGGGGCCGACCACAGGAACAGGACTCAAAGCCCACTTCAGACACATGAGTGTGCGAATCACCCAAAGGGCAGCGAAGTCCTGAGACTGTCGCCACCAGCACAGCCTACCGTGTAGCCAGCAGGGCCAGCCACACCAAGCCAGCTCCGTAAGCCCATCAGCCCCACAGGTGGCTCTCTGGACGTGGATTGCCAGCCTGGGACAGGACCACCAGCCAGTGCACTCAGCAGACGCAGGACCCACCTGGGCTTGGGAAAACATGTCTGGCACTTATGTGAGTGTCCAGCAGGATTCCGGCCAGCCAGCCGGCCACCACACTGACTGCACAACCTGCTGGCACTGAGTGGCCCAGGAGGAAGGCTGAGCAGCGGCTATGCGAGGCTACAGGTAAGCAGAACCTTCCGTGTCTCCCCCACGAGGGACACAGGGCGCTGTGCTGGGGGAAGAGCACCCCGGCCCGCAGTGCATGCTGGAACATGGTTGGGCAGAGGGCGGAGCAGGAAGTCACCCCAGTCTCAGTCTAACTGGGACCCCTTTCCTTCCCGGCAGGCTACGGGAGCAACAGGAGCACAGGCGGCAATGGGTCCCCTCAAAAGCTGCAGCCTGGCACTCAGCCAGCAGCCTCGGCAGCCTTGCCCGGAAGCCCTCAGCCGGGTTGCTGGACAGGGCCCCGCCTCCTCTGGAGCTCTCAGAGCGGGGACTGGGCACCGCCACTGCCCCTCTTTCTTTTCTCCAGCCAAGATCCTCGGCCACATCGGTGATGGCAGTGAACTCTGGCCCCAGGCTGATGTCCCTTGAGCCCCACACTCCCATTCCGATGGCCTGGCCAGCACTGGGACCCTCCTCGGGCTGTCCAGGCTGCAAGCCTCACTGGACTCCCACCAGCTGGTGCTGGAGAGCTGAGGGGCCTCCGTGATCTTTGGCGAAGAGGGGTGCCCACACCCGCGTCCTCCATATCGGGGAGCCCTGCACATCAGGGGCAAGGAGGCCCACTTGGAAACGGAGTGGTGTGCGTGGGTGGGCAGGAGGTTACCAGCCACCCACTGCAGGCCTCAGCTTGGCTGTTTGGCCTCGTTCCTTGGCTTAACCCATGCACTCAGGGTTCCTGGCTAAGGACTGGCTGTCCTGGGCCCATGTCTCCTGGGGGTCCTACAAAGCAGCCACAACACGTAAGGAAACTGAGGCAGCCACACCCACACAGGCTTTGGGGCCCGCTGGACCCTCCACCTCCGCTTTCTGGGTGGCAACAGACCTGCAGGCTTGGTCTGTTCTCAAAAAGACAAAAAGTAACAGAAGCTGGCCTGGAAGTGGACAAAGGGAGCCATGAACACTGCCGGTAGGATGTAAGTAAGTCCAGCTGTGATGGAAAACATCACAGAGTTCCTCAAAAAATTAAAGCTCAGACTACGTCCAGCCAGCCCTCCACTCCTGGGAATCCATGCAAAGGCAGGACATCCAGCCACATTCCCAGGTGTAAGCAGCATTCTCTATAATGGCAAAGTGTGGAAACAGCCCCCATACCCACCCTCTGGTGAATGGACAGAGACAACACAGCAGGTGTGTGATGGAGTACTATTCAGCCATAAAAAAGATGCGACTGTCATTTGTGGCAATGTGGATGGACCCAGAGGATGTTAAGTGAAATAAGGCAAGGACAAATGCTGCGAGACCTCATTCATTTGTGGAATCCAAGTGACTAGGCTCATGAATGTGGAGAGGAGTAATGACCACTTGAGGCTGGGGCAGGTAGCAGGGGAGCGGGGAGGCTGGTCCAAGGGCACAGGGCCACAGTTACACAGGAGGAAGGGTCGGCGAGGTGGGTGAGGAGTTAGCAGTACTGCGTCCTGGGCCCCTGAACAACCAGAAGGGGGCGCTCCAAAGCTCTCAGCACCAGGAAAGGCGGGCGTGCGGAGAGGGCTGTGCCAGCGTCCTGTGTGCAGGCACGGAGATGCCGCTGCGCCCTCTGACGCGCTCACTCTCGTCGGAAAGGAAGACAGTGCAAAAGTCAGAGACGGGCGGGTGGCTCGGGGAAGCCAGGCCGCAAGTGAGGCCCGTGAGCACAGCGCGAGCCCGGCGGCTCGTCCACATCCGGCCGGCAGCAGCCGGGGGTGGTCCCACAACGAGCTCGGCCCGGGTCCAAGGACAGCGGCGGCTTCACCCTGGCCACTGTGTGTGCGGGGCGCTGCTGCTGTCTAGCGGGCAAAGGGCAGGGACGGGCGGTCCCACCGTGCACAGAGCTGCAGACCCCGCTGAGGGGAGGCAGCCGGATCGGGGCCTGGGCGCAGAGGGGCAGGCGGAGACGACTTGAGGCCCGACCCAAGGGGTTGGGCTGCTCCTCTGGAAGGGAGCACAGGGCCCGACCCGGCCGTGAGAGCTCGGCTGGCTGCCAGGGCTGCGGAGGGGCTGCAGGAGCCGGGCCAGACAGCGCCGGGATGGGGGAGGAGCGAGGCTGAGCCCCCAACCCGGGGCAGGGGGTGTCGGGCGTCCACGGGGCGCGGCGCTCCACCCCTTCCCAGCGCAGCGCTTCCGCCCGCCCTCGAGGGCTTGGCCACACGCACCAGTTCCAACCTGGAGCTCACAGACGCTGCAGTTCAGCGGGCACCTTGGCCAGGGATAGGATCGGGCAACGCGGCCTGGTCCCCGGCCTTTGCTGGTTCTTTCCTAGGTCGACCAGGCACGTTGTTTGTCCCCTTCCCCATCTAGCCGGTCTCTCCTTTTCTTCAGACGTGTAGGGCTCGGGCTGCCTTGTTTTTACCTCTTTGCTCTCACTCTCCGCAACATCTCTCCACAGTTTACCCTCTCTGGATGTCTTTCAACGTGGTAGAGTTTCATTCTTAAGGATTCAAACTGTTGATTGTATCTTCTCTGATCCCGGAAGTAAAAAAAAAATACTATTCAGCCTGGTGTGGTGGCGCACGCCTGTGATCCCAGCACTCGGGAGGCTGAGGCAGAAGGATTACTGCGAGTTCGAGGCCATCCTGGGCTACATAGTGAGTTCAAGCCCAGCCACAGCAAGGCCGGTGCCCCAGAGCCCACACGCGCTTCTGGCCAGGGTCGCTCGGAGGGGCTGCTGCTGGGCGGCGGGTGAGGGAGGCTGAGTCAGGAGCATTGCAAGTTCCAGTCCTGCTAGGGCAACTGCGGGAGACCCTGTCTCTAAATAAAAATAGAAGAGTGGCTGGGGACACGACCTGGCTCAGTGGAGAGCAGCCCCGGGTTCCAGTTCCATCCCTTGGGGTGGGGGAGAGGGGAGGGGAGGCGCAGGTACCCAGGCAGAAGACATGGCTCAAGAGCCAGCGAGCCCCGGGGTCAGCAGACGCAGGAAGGTCTCCGCATCGCCCCGTGCCCGGGACCGGGACGGGACCACAGGCCTGCTGTGTGGACGCACGTGACGGAGAGGGGCCCCTCTCGACCTAGGGAAGGGCAGCGTGCTGTGCCTGGCTCAGGGTTCCCCACCTGGGTTTGGGGTGACCTTCGCCCTGCCAGGGGCGGGGCCTGGGCACAACAGCGCCTGCTCCCCTTGCTCTCGGTGGAGGTAACCAGCGACAGACAGGGCGGGGCCGCAGCCTGCCCTCAGGGGGGACACCGGACCGTGGGGGCGGGGGAGGGGCTGGCCTGGCCCCGCCCCCACCGCCAGTCTCCAGCCCCAGCCTCCCGCCTCGCCCCGCCCCCTCCGCTTGCCACGCCCCCGGCGCTCGGGGAGCGAGCGCGGCGCCTTCCGCGAGGCGGCAGCGCACAGGTGAGGTCGGGACAGCGCCGCGCGGACAGGGAGGACTGGGAGCCCGGGAAGCGGGGCGGCGGGAGGGTCTCCGTCTTCCCCGGCGCCGGGGGCTCCCTCGGGTCCGCGCAGTGGAGGAGGGGCGGGGCCGAGCTCCGGGCCCCGGACCGACCCCAGTGCTCCTGTGTGCAGGTGGGAGCCCGAGCCGCGCCGCGTCGCCGTCGTCTCGCCCGCTGCCGGGATGCTCGCCGCGGGGACCCGCCGGCCGCGCGCGCTCGCAGGTCGGTGTCGCGGAGGCCCTGCCCCGGCCGCCCACCAGGGACTCGCAGCCTGCAGAGGAGCGCTGCTCCCAGTCGCAGCCACGCGCGGCTCGGGGACGCGGATCCTCCGGGTCGTGTGAGCCGCGCCTCTGCGCTGTGTGCGGTCGGTCAGGACCCTGTGGCCCGGAACGACGCGGCCCGCCCGGCTGTGCTGGCACCGCGGGCACAGTGCCCAGCCCTCCGCAGGCTGCAGGCCCTGGCTCAGCGACTCCCCAGTGACCCCCTCAGCGACCCCCCCCCCCGCGACCCCCTTCAGCGACCCCTCAGTGACCCCCCTCAGCGACGCCCTGCAGGCCAGGGTTTTGGAGAAGGCCAGGTCGGGCGTTTGGTGAAAACTGCTGAAGCCGGGTTTGGGCACCGCCTGCGGTCAGGACAGGACCGGCTGGCAATCACCGGCTCCCAGCTCCAACCGCAAGCAGCTCCGCTCCTCAAAGAGGACGGATTGCAGACGATGAGGACAACCTCTAAGTCCTATATGAATTTTTTTTTTGTAAAGGGAAATTGTACCTGAGCTGGTTGACTTTGATTTTCAAGTTTTTCTCCAAAACACTGTAAATTTTAACATAAATGGTGGCATCCCGCATGCAGACCAGTCAGGTCCATTCCTTCTAAAAGCCGAGCTGAACCTGGTCTTGTTTGGGGCAGGGTCCGTGGCCCTCTATTACCCACGCTAACTAGGCATTCTCAGAAGGTTGGTGCCAGAATGTTCCTGCCTGGTTCCTGACTGGCTCCTATTGTTGATTTGGGGTCACAGAGGGGGCTGCTCAGAAGGTCGGCTCCCCAGTGGCTAGCTTTGCTCCAGGGGCTATGGAGGGCGAGTTGTGAGGGACAGAGGGACAGCCTCTGGAAGTGGGGTCTCCTCAGACAGTGTGCTCCCTTGGTAGCAGTTTGCGCTCTCAGTGACAGCAGAGAGCCGAGATGCTCAGGACCCTACTAGGCACCAGCAAGTGTCCATGGCTGCATCCGTGCCGCTCGGTCGGTCTGGGCCTGAGCCCCACTGCCCTCCTTGAACAGTGAGCTTGTGGTGGGGCTGGGTGTGGGCTGGGTGTGGGCTGGGTCTCGGCTGGGTCTCGTCCCACTGTGGTGCCTTCCACGTGTCCTTGTCCTCAGGAAGTAGTGGGCCAGGGACGCAGGCACTGCTGATCAGGAGTGAACGTCTGCACTAGCTGGGATCTGCCTTGAGGCTGCTGGAGAGATTTCTGCATAATGGAAATGTTCTGCAGCTGCTGACCAACACAGGGGCACAGAGACACTTGAGATGTGACTAGTGAGGTTTGAGGGACTAGGCCTTTATAAATTGCAATTAATTCACATTGACTAGTCAGTTGGTAGGAGACACACTGGGATTTACTATCTTTCCATTGTGCCAGTTTCATTATGGTTTTTCAGCCATTTGGGTACCATTTACATTTTTCCCTAATAGTTCTACCAAGGCTGTTATTTAGTCCATATTTTAATTGACTGTCTTTTTGTCTTTTTAAAAAATAAGATATCATGTATATACTGTGATGCGGGTAGACCTTAAGTCATAACCCTAAAGTGGGAATTCTTGACTTCTGAAAATATCTTTTAGAATAGTGGAGGAATTTATAAGAATCTTTTTCTAAAGTAAATTGTACCTGGGAAGCTGGTTTGCTTTGATATTCAAGTTTTCTCCAAAGGATTTGAAAGGCCTGATGAACTCTAACAAATGCACACCCGTGCACTCCCTGCAACCCTATTAATATGACAGCATTTGCATTTCTCAGAAAGTGTCCCGTGTTCCTTCCCCACAAGTCCCCATCCCAAAGACAGCAGTCATTGTTCTGCCTTCTGGCCCCCGCTTGCTTTAGAATATGACAGAAATAAAATCATTTCCATTTACTAATTTCTACACAGGACTAATTTCTTTTAATTGAAGATTATTTTTAAAATAAGATATATCACCTGCTTTAATAGAAAACCCAGATTTTAAAATCTACATTTTTTTTTTTTTTTGTTTAGTATCAGGCATTGAACTTGGGTCCTTGCGCTTGCACAGCAGGCAGCAAAACCACTGAGCTAAATCCCTGGCCCCAAATCTACATTTTGAAATGCTGTGGTAAATATCCCAGGGATGGCCAGTCGTTTGCCTGATACACTTTGAGAAATCCCAGAATACGAGACCATAAACACCCTCCCTGCAAACACTGAGTCGACAATTTCAGGGGAGGACAAATGGGGGCAGAACCCCAGTCGCTGCTGCATTTTACGGTTGTGGATCTCTGGAGGCCGGGCCCAGCGACTCATGCTCATGACTGTGGCCCAGCCTGTGCTCCCACCCGGAGGCCCAGGCCCGCTCCCTGCTGTCCTCATGTGTCTTCCTGCTCTTCCCACCATAGGCCTCGAGAGCCTGTTCCGAACCCCGGCCATCGTCACCTTGGCGGTCTTGGCCCTGAGCATCGTGGTGCTCATGACGATCACACTGGTCCAGACCCACCACTCCGAGCTCATCCCTCCAGGGCTGAAGGTGAGCGGGAAAGAGCTGGCATGGAGGATGGGTGCTGCAGCATCGGCTCCTCTCCAGCCATGAGCCGGAAGACAGGAACATTCTTTCCCTGCCTGCCTCTGGAGCGGGAGGAAGTGGCATAGGCACAGGTGAAGCCAGGACGTGCTGGGTGGTGACGTCAGGGGTCACCAATGGGGGGCGGGACCTTCTCCGAGGACTGCGTGGTCTTGCTTTGACTTCTGGCTGTAGCCAAAGACATAGCTGGTAGCCAAGACCTGCAGGTGGCTACCAAAGGCTTGCCAGTTGGTTGGTTTTGACCTGCCTGTCCCTTCCTGGAGAGCCCTGACCGTGAGCAAAGACCAGGAGGCCCAGGCCCCTCTTCCAGCCCAGCCTGGTGGACAGAGGCGAGGTCTTGTGAAGGTCTCGTGGGTTGCACTAGTGCCCCTCTCTCGGGTCCAGTCCATGTCCCGGGACCCTCCAATGCCTTCCCTGCAGAACCTTCTCAGTCCTTGTGCTTGGTCCCGGTTAGGTCCGTCCCCAGCAGGCCCAGGAGAGGGTTCCTGGTGGCTGCGAACCCTGCATCTTCCTGCTCAGCTCCAAGGACGCCCTGGGGTGGGGGGAGGTCCCCGAGGGGCTCTGAGACAGCTGTGAAGACAGCGAGCCCTTCAGCATTTTGGGACGCGAAGGCTTTTGCTGTGGCGGCCCCAGCACTGCATGCTTAGGCTCTGGGGCTGCTGTGGCTTTGCTGTGTACTGTCCTTTGGTTTCTGACTCAGTGACGATGTGGAAAGCCTTCTCAGCTGGGGAGGCCACAGGAGCCAGGAACTCGCTTCGTCATTTGAACCTCAGTTGGCTTTGACACTGGACCAGGCAGTCCTCACCCTGCCTTCCAGGGCTGGCAACGGTTCAAAGGCTACAGTTGAAATAGAAGTTTCTCAGAGATAAACTAAGATTGCTGTGGGCTCAATCGAACCTTCCATGGCCATTTTCCCGAAGAGTGAAATCTCCTCTGGAGAATAGCATTTCGTTCTTAAGAACCTCAGCCTTCACGAATAATGTGGAAAAATAAATCCTGTGAAACTGTCCAACACAAGAGAACAGGTCACCTGGCTCCCAGGCCTGAGCTGAGGCCTGGGAAGCAGTTTCTGAGCACCCCCCCCCCCGGCTTCCTCCCTAAACTTCAGCCCAGACGAGGGCCTTCCACACTGTGTGCAGGCTGCCCAGCTCATCTCTGTGGTGTGGATGGTGGGCAGTGCCCTTGCAGGGCGGAAATACGGGTTCAGCCCGTGAGTAGCAAGATGAGGCTGACGCCGGGCCCTCTGTCCAGGCCAGGCTGTCTGCACTCGCTCCTGGGCCTCGGCAGCGTGCAGCCTGCTCTGCACAGGAGGTTTCTGGGAGGGAAGTTCAGGCTGTGGAACGAGGGACAGTCAGGCCGGGCGACCCTGGAGCCCAGCACCTGCCCCAGTCAGAACCCCGTTGCAGGAGGAGCAGCTCTGGCCGTGCTCCAGGCTCACCTCCCTTCTCTGGACAACAGAAGGCAGCAACCCAAGCCCTTGCCCTCTGGCAGAAGAAGCCGAGGTGCACCAGGCACCAGAGCCCTGGTCTTCTCCTGCCAGGCTCTGAGAGGAGGCCCAGGAGCCACCTGCAGGGGTGTGGAGGGCAGGGAGCGGGCGGGCTGTCCACACACAGACCCGAGGTGACCCCCACACTGGTCCTTGAGGTTGTGAAGGAGCGGAGTCACGGTAAGGCCACAGTGCGGCTGCTGCCTGGGGTGCTGGTGTCCCATGCCCATCACACTGCCCACCGTGCAGGGCCGTGAGTGACCTGTACGCGGCCACTCTGCTCCTGTGTGTGCTGCGTGCGAGCCGGGTCCTGAGCTACACCCCCGCCCTTTTTAACTTTTTATTTTCCGTCAGGATCTCACTAAGTCGCTAAGTTGCCCAGGCTGGCTCAAACTTGCCACCCTCCTGCCTCAGCCTCCCAGCGGAAAGAACACTTTTGTATAGCTGTGTGATCTGTTTGCATTTTAGTGTTAGTACAGAAGAGTGAAAAGTTTCAAAAGCTTAAGTTTATAAAATAAAAAACTTGCAGTACACTAGGGGTGATTGATCACTGGAGAAGAACAAAGATATCCGAATGCGGTGTGGCCTGGGCGTCCCGAGAGGGTGGAGCTGTGACCTGCAGGGTCCGGGTTGGCCCCCCGTTCTCTCGCACACAAGGCACGGGGTGTAAGGCTCCTGCCCCGTCCTTGCGGTGCCTTCCTGCGCTGGAGCCCTGAGCGCCACTGGTCGCGCCATGTCCAGCCCTCGCCCTGCCCGCGGCTCCGCAGCGCTGGGGTGGAGCCGGGCGTCCAGTCCCTCACCCTTCCGCAGCACAGGAGCCCCGCCCCACCTCAGGCTGGCTCCTCCCCAAGAGGCCGTGACGCGACCCGGGGCACGGGCGGACCTCCCCCTCGGCTCCGTCTGGTCTGGGATGTGGACCTCGTGGACCCTCGACCATCCGGGGCGTGGCGACAGGATGGCCGGCTGGGGCCTCGCGGTGCCCCCTCAGGGGCCTGGACACGTGTTCCTGTGTGGCCCGCAGGACCCGCGCCCCGTCGGTAGCACTGTCACCCCCACCTCGCGGCGGGGAAAACCGAGCATGGAAAGCACAGCCGTGCACTTCGTTGTACGGGTGGAGGCAGAGGGCGGGAGGAGGAGCGGAGCGTGGCTTTGGGGAGGCCGTGGAGGGACAGGGCCAGGGCTCCTGGCCAGCGAGCAGACTCCAGGAGGGAACAGAGGCGGCCCTCTCTCTGCAGCAGGGTCCCTCGACCTCTGGGACATGTCCACGCGAGACGGGCGGTGTCCAGCCTGGGAGACACGGCGCGTTCCTCGCCCACAGTGCCTTTGCTGTGGCCGAGCAGTGAGTGCTGCGGTGGGCAGAGCTCCGCCCAGTGGAGGAGGCTTTCTGTTGTCACGCGTGCCCTCTGTGCACAGGGGCAGCAGGGTGCTGGGGCAGCCCCAGCCTGCGGGGAGGGCCCTCCGGGCACCAGGTCCCAAACCCGGTCTGGGCTCGGGCTGGCTGAGTCTAAGAGGCACTGTTCACCTCAGTCTGTCCAGTGTTACCGGTCTGACCTGCTCCGCGAGCCCAGCAGTGAACCCGAGGCCATCACTTCTATTCTCACTCGCCCTCGTGGTGTCACTGTGCAAGGCGGGCGGGCGCCAGCCGCAGGGCTTCAGCTGTGCCTCCCTGCTTCCCCACTTTGGTACCAGAGCCAGGCAGCACAGCTCACTCATGTGGTGCAGCCTGTGGGCCGGGCAGTGTTGGTGTCCTGGTGCAGCCTCCTGGCGCCTGGCCGGGCAGCCTGGATTCCTGGGACTGTGGCCCTCTGCCCCAGGAGACCCAGAGCTGGGTGCGTGGTCTCCCTTCTCTAGAAAGTCCAGATCATGCAGCTCGGTCCTCCAGCCGGTCCCCCGAGCCCTGAGCTAAGAGCGCACTCGCGGGGCGCTGTGCACACAAGGAGCCTGCAGTCCCGCTGCTAAACAGGCATCCGCTCCACTCAGTTCCTGGACTCTTGGTGTCCTGCTCTGACTGGCCTGGCCCCGGGTCCAGCCCGTGTGCCAGTAAGGGTAGAGGCAGCGACAGTGACAAAGCGCATGCATGGTTCTTGGTGAGCAGGTGTTCGCAGTGTTGGGTGCCGGCTTCAGCTCGCTCCTCCGACCAGACCCTGCACAGGGTTACTGGGGACTGTCTCAGCATCACCCGCCGTCCCCTTGTCCCCAGGGGCCCCACACCACGGTCCTCTCTTTAGGCTGCTGACTGAAAGCTGGCTGCAGCCTCATTCTGCTCTTGTGGGCGCACCGTGGGGTACATCAGCGCTGGAGCTGAGCCCCGAGGCTGGCCCTGTCTGCACGTCAGACCCTGGGCCGAGTCTGCGGCTTGAGACAGGAGGATGTGGCCCCCAGCTGGGCCTCTGAGGAGAAAGGACCTCTTCTTCCAAAGCTGGCCTGGAGCCTGGGCGCAGACCCGGGGCTCCGCTGTGAAGGTGGGCAGGCGGGGTCCTGTCTCTTTGCCCCTCGTCTCCCGTCAGCACCAGGAACCACAGGGTGGGGGCGCAGGTGGCGATCAGCTCGGCACAGAGGAGGGAAGGTGTGTTGGAGGCCGGGACCTGCGGGCCTGGCTTCCTCCTCCTCCGGTTTCCTCCTGCACGGCAGTCTCACTGCGGTCGCTGCCTGGGCCGGAGGTGAACAATGCGCCCTTGTTCCACGCAGGAGATGTCAGGTCAGGATCCAGATCACACACAGCTGCGGAAAGCCAGGTTGCGAGTGGCCGGGCACAGTGCTCGCAGTTTGTCGGTGTGAGGGCCTGCGATCGGGGTGGGGCAGCTCTCCACACGCAGTCCTCCTTCACTGATGCTCTGCACAGGGGAAGCCAGAAACCTCTGGCGGCCTGGGGTCAGTAGTTACTGTGCATTGTCAGTGAACTGAGTCGCTGTCCTCGGGGTGCTGGGCGGGCGTGTGGGGCACGCAGACCTTGCCGTTTACGGCGGGGAGAGGTGCATGCGAGTGCGGGTCAGAAAAGGGCCTTGCACAGGAAAGCCCACTGTATCCGTGCTTCCACGTCCCACCTGAACACGTGTACTCATGCAGCCACACGCACAGAACGCTGGAGTCACAGTGCCTCACGTGGAGCGGGGTTGGGCTGAGGGAGAGCTGCTTGCTCCGTGTGCTGTTCACTTCTGGGGTGCAGGCTGGGACCCGGGGCCTGTGTGTGCTGGGCAGCACCCCGTACCCAGCTCCCCACCCCACTCTTCTGTGTAAATTGGTGGATTTTGCCTGATTACCCTCTCCAAGTGCAGTACCCTTTTCCCAGGCGCCTCTGCTCCTGGGCACCTAGCTCCTATTCAGGAAGTCAGCTGAGAAGGAGGGAGCCCAGCCCAAGGGCAGCACCTTACCACTGTGAGCTGACTCCGTGGGTGTCCTTCTCTAGGACCCAGAGGCCGCATGATGCCCGCCTGGGGTGGGGAAGCTGCCGCCCTGGGTGAGCCGGCACAGCCAGATGAGGTCGCCCAGCGTCCAGTCCTGCTGTCTGCGGGCTGTCATGTTGCTCTTCCCTGGGTCCAGGCCTCCAGGCCCCTCCCAGGCTCTGCAGCCCCCACGCCAGCTTGTGGCCGTTCAGATCCTCCAGGTGGAAGACTAGGATCAGCGTGGCTTTGTGGTTTGTTTCTTTCTTCTTATGTAGGAATACTGCTTGTTTTGCTTTTGTGCTTGTTTTCCTTGAGATAGGGTCTAGCTCTGTAGTTGCAGCAATCCTCCTGCCTCAGCCTCTTAAATGCAGGGATGCCAGCTGTGTGCCACCATGCCCAGCAAACCCTTCACCTCTGAGGGTGATTCAGGAACTGACATGTCTCCCTCATGAGAACATCCTGCGGTGCCTCCCTGCAGCTTCCTTTTGGTTGTTTAGCACATTCCTTACTGGCTTGACCCACTGGAGTGGCACACGCACAACTGTCCCCTCGGGGGCCCGTACACTGGAGGTAGAAAAGGTGTGGTTGTGCCTGGACAGCCTCGAGGTACGGCCCATCGTGAACATGTTAATCCCCAGCTAAGCAGAAGTCTGGGAAACAGGACCGCCTGGTGCCTGGACACAGGGCCTCCGTCCTCAGGTCGAGGCCTCTATGGGGGTCAGGACACTTGCTGGAATCTCCTGGGGACATTTAAAGCCTGCTGCTGACAGGCCACTCTCAGGACTCCAGTGTGACAGCTCGGGAGACTGACTCAGCTCACTGTCCCTCCCTGGGCCCCATTGGGGCTGGTCTGGAGACAGCTCCTCCTTGTGGTCACCCACCCGAGGGAGGCGGGAGGCTGAGGGCTTCCGGGTTCGCCAGTGTCCTCGGGGGGCCTGTCCTGTCCTGACTCTGTCTCCTCTTCCTTCAGTATGGTGTCGTGCTGGACGCAGGGTCATCCAGAACCACGGTGTACGTGTACCAGTGGCCAGCAGAGAAGGAGAACAACACCGGCGTGGTCAGCCAGACCTTCAAGTGCAGCGTGAAAGGTGAGGGCACGGGCGGCCACTCTGCTCAGCCACTCGGGCCCCGTTCCTGCCTCCCTTGCCTCAGTTTTCCTCTGTGAATAGGGGAGTCCAGGCTTCACTGCCTCACCTCCGTGCAGCTGGCAGCAGCCTCCCGGTCCCGGGGCAATGCCCAGGGCATTGCTGCGGCCCTCACTGCGGCCAGCACCAGCCTTTTCCTGAGCCTGGTCCACTCCCAGTCTGCACAGGGCGCTGTCGGGGGAACGGGACCCCAGGCCCGGGGCCATCGGCAGCAGCGGGCGTCCCTGTGCTTCGCCCCTGAGGGAGGCACTGGGTGGGAGAGGCGCCAGCACAGAGGCGGGCAGGCCCTCTGCCCAGACATGCAGGGCCATGGGGACGGCGGCCGTCCTCGGGGGATGCTGCTCTGTCTTCGTGGGAACGTGTCCCGGGGAGGGCAGCTCACACTGATGGGGCTCTGTTCCCGTGGCACTTTCCTTCTGGACACTGGAATTTTGAGTTTCCGATGGCTCTCCCACACCCCAAAGTGCCGCTCTCTCTTAATGTCCCAGCAGTGAAAAACGCCAAAGTTCCCTAAGCACCCAGACGGGCTGGGAGAGGAGCAGAGCGCTGGGCTGCTTCCTCAGCCCGTCGGTGGTGCCTGTCTCACGCCCACTGTCTCCTGCTCTCCTTTTCCCTGTGTCATACCTTGAGTTGTGCATCTCGATGGGGGGTGACGTGAGAGTCCAGGACGTGTACAGTGTGTAACAGTCAGATTGGGGCGTTGGTGCTTCCATCTGCTGTCACATTTCCATCACCCGCATGTGATGTTATGCACATTTGTGGTGCAGTGGATACTCAACACCCAGCTGTGTGTGTGCTCATCAGACCAGTGTGATCTGCGTTTCCATCCCTTCAGATGGATGCTGGAAGCCTCAGACAAGCCCTTCCCTTCCAGTCACTCATAGCACAAACCGGAGTTTACTGTGAGCTGTGGTCTCCCAGAACTCATCCCTTCTTACTGACTGTGAAAAGGAGCCCTTATGTGACCACCGTGGTCCTCCAGCCTCTAGCGATCTCCACTGGACACTCCGCTGCTCCTGTAGCTCCCCCTCTGGAAAGAGCGTGTGTGTTTGGCTTCCTGCATCTGATTGGCTTTTCTCCTGTGATGACCTATAGTTGGACCCATCTTGCTGCAAGGGATAGGAGTTCCTTCTTCCTGGGGCTGAATAAGATTCCATGGTGTGCCCATACCCCATCTTTAATGGAGAGAGAAGAAAACTGATTCCCCGTGGCTGAGGGTGTAAGTCAGTGCAGCCAGTCTGGCAGCTCACAGAGCCGAGAAGAGATCTCCACGTGAGCCAGCGTCCACCTGGTCTGTGAGACGCAGAAATTGAGGTCAGCACAGCAGGGAGACACCCACATGCTGCTTATCATACATGTTCACAGCGCTAAAGTATGGGTCCCTCTTGTCCTTTACAGTTTCATGTATTTAGTTTTAACTGTTTTGAAAAGTACAATCAGAAGTGTATTTTTATAATCCAACGTATTTTCTATAATTTCCCTTATGCGGTAGCGTTGGAGCTTCAGGATCCACCTGTGCTTCGTGAGTGTTTTGTCAGTCCACGTTCACAGTGCGAAATGCTCGCGACCCTGGTGCGGAGCTGGCCTTTGAGCCCGGCACACCTCACTACTTCCCACGGCCTCCCCACCTCTAGACGTCGGTGGGAATAGGGCTGATTAATCTTTCCCTGTTCTTGGACATTTCTGTTTACCTGGCTACTAATAAGATTGAGTATCTGTCTGTGTACTGATGGCCGTTTCCATTGCCTGTGAAGTGCCTGTTTGCCTCTTGTTATTTTCCTACTAAATGCTTGACTTTGTCTCACTGATTCATCGGAAGTTTTTACAATTTTGAGTGTGAATGCTTGCTAATGTTATTATTAGATTGTTGCTAATAGCTTGTTGAGGCAGTCATGTCTTCCTGATGCCTTTGGATGAGCAGAAGTTCTCAGTCCTTATGTTGGTGCAGATACTCATCCTGCCATTTGTGGTTTGCTCCTGTGTAGGGTTGCTTCGGGAACGCCTCCCTGTCCTGAGGTGGTAAAGACACCCTGTCAGTTTTGTAATTTTGCATTTGCACCCAAGTCTTTAGTCCCCGGAATTAGGCCGAGTTTGTATGCATGGCCTTTGCATAGCCTGCCTCTTCCTCTGCAGAGTGTAGCAGTCCTTGCCCTGACCTGGAGCTGCCCGGACCTGGGTCTGAATGGGTCACAGGTGTCCCCGGGCCCCAGGGCTGTGGCTCAGAGACCCCAGCTCTGCCCCCAGCCCAGCGTCAGGGAGCTGCCCAAACAGCAGTTTCTGGGGATCAGGGCCGCCTTCCCTGCAGCGAGATGTGGGCTTCTTTGGATCACCGAGTGAGTTCTGATTCTGCAGTGGTGGGAGCTGGCCTGCCCTGGTGCTCAGCTGGGTTCCTGGAAGCGGAGGTTAGGCAGGACTGGGAGGTGTGGTCGTCACTAGAACCCTGATAACTAGGCGCGGTCCTGGGCTGGATGGGCAGAAAGGCGAGCTGGTGGAAGTTGGAAGTCGTACTTCTGCGCATGCCTGAGGAGGTGGGCGGCCTTGCAGGCTCTGCAACCCGCAACCCGTCCTGCGCTGAGGGAACCCACCGATGACAGATGCCCGGGTCTCACTTGATGGGCCCCAGCCGTGCACAGTTTTGGCATCCCTGCAACAGGACAATTGGATATTTTCTGAGCTTTGCATATAGTGTTGCCCACACCCTCACAGCAGTTGCCCCGCCCTGACCCAGCCAGCGACCCAGTGTTCTTTGGTTCAGCCAGCTTCGGAGCCCAGCATGAAAGAGGGCAGCGGGTGCTCCCTTCTTTCCTGATTCGGGAAGACAGCGGGCAGTGCAGGATCATCAGCCTCCCCTCGTCCCTGTGTGTGAGTGCTGGAGTCCTCCGACCTGTGACCCTCTCCTCTCTGAGACAGAGAAACAGTAACTGAGCCGGCTCAGGAGAGGGCCCCGGGATCGGTGAGGTGACACAGCTCAGGAGTTGGCAAATGCCGCTCGAAGTGGGCTCGGAGAGTGTTCACTGTCACTACCCCGGGCGCCTGGGGTCCTCTTGCTGCCAGCTACTCTGTCTTGTGGCTCCAGGATTCTGTCTTTGGCCGGGGAAGGCGTCCAGCCCCGTGGGGCCTGGTGGCCCTGTGCCTCGGCAGAGGTGGTGCTTCCTGGCCCACAGGTCACGGGCAGTGCATGAGGAGGCCCAGCACCCACCCTGGGTGCCGAGTGTGGGTCAGGGAAGGGCTCTGAGGTCCCAGAGTCCACCACACTTCCATAAATGGGCCTCCCGTCCCTGACCACAGCGGCCTTGGGGACCCGTTTATACTCAGTGGTCCAGGAGACCACAGCAGAGCATAAATTACAGAGCTGCCGCCCGCAATGGCATCTCCTCCAGGACCCGTGGCTTGAGGCAATACTTTAGGTTTCCGGTTTCTGGGTTGCAAACTTCCGGGACCCCCAGCCCGGCCAGCCCCAGAGGCTGCTGGACCTTGCTCTCCCCTGGGCGGCTCCGCTGTGTCTGCCCCCTGTCAGGGCCCTGTGGGTGTTGAGATCTTGGCCATTGGCCCCGCGCTGGCCTCTCCTCCCCTGGGCAGGGGATGGGCTCCCTCTGAGCTGCCTCCCGTCTGGAAGGGCTTGTGTCTGCTGCGGCCTCTTCCACTGGAACATGCAGAGCTTTTCCTTAAACCAGCCGTCAGAAGTCCCGTAAGTCCCCTGGAGCCTGACCTTCACTGTCCCCTCCGATGAAATCCTCAGAGGGTGGCCTCAGGGACCACGAATCATGGCGCTGAAAAGGAGCCCCGAGCCAGGAGGCAGCCGGCACTGGCTGAGCGCAGGGCTTTGCTTCTGCCCCAGCGCAGCGACTTCTGTGCCATCCACTCAGTACCGTGCCCCACACTGAAACAGCAGCTTAAGAGTTTCCCAAGTGCTGTGAGATTCAACTCTTTCCCTGAGAGGCTTAGGGGACCTGCAAGAGGCCCCGGGGAGTGTGAGGCCTTGGGCCTGTCCCCAGGCACTTCTCGCTCCTAAGTACGCTGGCCCCTGATTGGACTCACGATCCCCTTGCTATAGAGCTGAGTGCTGGTTAAAAAGCTCACTGATTGATTGATTGATTGATGGATGGATGGATTCATCTAATGAACATTTATTGGGTGCCTCCTCTTTGCCAAGAACTTTTCTTGGAATTGAGAAATCAGAAAAATGTAACACAAAATTTCTGCCGTTGCATGTTTTAAAGAATTTACACTCCATGCAGGCCAGGGACATAGCTCAGTGACACCTCGCCTGCCTTGCAAGCACAAGGTCCCGAGTTCAATCCCCAGTACCAAAAAAAAAAGAATTTACACTCCAGCTGGGTTCTGTGGTGCATGCCTGTCATTCTAGGACACTGGAGGCTGAGGCAGGAAGATCACCATGATTCAAGGGCAGGCTGGGCTACATAGTGAGTTCAAGGCCAGCCTGGACTACACAGCAACAGCCTATCTCAAAACACCAAGCCAAATAAAATAAAAAACAGTCCAATGAAGGAGGCAGAGGAAACACAAGTGGGCAGGGGAAGGGATGTCACCAGGGTGAGGCTGGAGCGGGATGCTGCTTCAGACAGGACGGGCGGCGATGGTTAGCAGGCACCGAGGAGAGGAGGGTGCTGTGCAGACACCCCAGGGGGATGGTGTTGAGCCGAAGCCTCGGCCGCAGAGGCAGGGGCAATGGGGACAGACAAGGGCAGCCCGCGCTGCAGCAGGAACGGAGGACGGAGGGAGGCACGAGTGAAGGAGGCTGCAGCCTCAGCCAGCACCTGGGAGGCCGGGAGAGGCGGGGAGCGGCTTTCTGGGGTGGCCGGGAGGCATGGAAGGTTCTGGCCTTGGGGCTAACGGCACATGGCGGTGCCTTTCCAGAGTCCTCTGTGGTCCCAGAACCTGTCCTGTTAGGCTTCCGTCCAGAAATTCACACCGAATCAGGTCAAACCTCTGTGTTAATTAACTCTCTGCAGGAAGCACGAGGGACCAGTGAGATGTCAAGTGGCCTGTGGGGCACAATCAGCAAACCCTAAACGGGGAAACTGCAGGGCAGATGAAACTGCAAGGGAATTTTAAAAATAACTCTCAGGACAAACAGAAGGGAAGGAAAGCACCAGCAGGTTATTTTAGTGTGTGTGCTGCCGAGGCCAGCACAACCCAGTAGATTGAGAGACTGGGGGTTGCAATGTGAGATTCTGGTTCCATAAATGGGGGGTGAAGGGGGAGTGCAGAGGGTGAGGACCACAGCTGCTGTTCCCCGCAGCCAGGAGGCAGCTCTACCTGGCCGACCAATGGGCAGGAAACCGCGCACGCACACCCATTGGAGTGCCCTTCTGCCATGCCGGGCCGGGAGTGGGATCCGGTCATTTGCAGCAGTGGAGAGGGACCTGTACTGAGGGAACTGTGACGGAGTCGGCACAGAACAGCAGCCACTGTGCGTCCTGACCCCCACGGGAGCCTCGAAAGCTGGTCCTCTAGCAGCTGAGCTTAGTGCAGCGGCTGCCTGGGGCGGGGGCAGGAGGGACTTGAGCTTGTGGGGAGAAGGGAGGAGTTCGGGCGAGCTGAGGCAGAGCAGGTCGGTTAACAGCACTTCACAGGTCTGAAAACGGGAGGGATTGGGTGTACTCACCATGGAGAAATGAGGACAGCAACACTAATCACCTCAATTTGCCCACCACCGCACATGTACACAAAGCAAAACCCGAGTACTACCTCAGAAATATGCAGATACTTTGCGTCAATCAAGAAATAAAAAGGAGGGCCGGGGATAGAGCTCAGTGGTTCCGCTGCCTGCCTTGCAAGTGCAAGGTCCCGAGTTCAACCCCTGGTACCAAAAAACAAAGAAAAAGAAATAAAAAGGAAATTATTTCTAATTTTTGCGATGTCATCACGAAACTCTAGCTATGCGTCTTTATAGGAGATTTTCCAGGTGTCAGCACTGACTCCCAGGGCATGCACACGTGTGCTGCTGGAGTGAGAGTCGATCACTGTTTCGATCGGGAGGCCATCCAGGGGCTTGTTATCCACTTCCCTCTGCGTGTGCCTGTGTTTGAAATCCCCCGGGAAGATGTTCCTGAATGGGAGCAGCTGGCCCCTTCGCCATGTGGCCCGGTCCCTGCAGGAGCCCGGCCAGCAGCCCCACCGGACCCAGAGTCAGCTTTCCTTTCCAGGCCATCCTAGGCACTGTGCCAAAGCTGACCACTTGCTCTGCAGGCCCTGGGATCTCCAGCTACGCGAGCGACCCTCAGGATGCCCCCAAGGCCTTCGAGGACTGCATGCAGAGAGTGCAGCAGCAGGTCCCAGCGCACCTGCACCGGTCCACACACGTCCACCTCGGGGCCACAGCTGGGATGCGCTTGCTCAGGTGAAGGCTGCATGGCACACTCAAGCAGCGGCCGAACAGCCAGGCAGGGGCCCGGCCAGGACATGGCTGGCCCAGAAATGGCCACGAGGAGGGGCCACGTCCCGCCATGCACTTAGGTGTTCACGCTGGGGACATGTTGGTTCATGTTCAGTCTGTTTTACTACTCGTAATGAAGCAGTTCTAAAACCCATTTCTCTCCCTTGGAGATTTTCCCAAGAATTCTGGAAAGTGAGGTGAGGGCTCTGCTCCTGGGGTCGCTTCACTTTAGAAAACAGAGGCTGTCTCAAGCCCTGTGGAAACAGTGAGTGCAGCCCTGGCTCTGTGGCCTCTGCCGTGCACACTGTGTCCCCAGAGCCACTGGAGAACCACAGGAAGTGGCTCCGCCTCAGCTGGAGCCTTCGGAGCTGTTGTGGGAAGTTCTCTTCCATCGGGGCTTTCACCCCAGCAGCATTGCTCCGTCTGTCTGTCTGGCTGTCTGGCTGTCTGTCTCTCTCTCTCACACACACACACACACACAAACACACACACACACTCTTTTCCCTTTATGGTATATTCCTTGTCCTTGAAATAAAAGAAAAACAGGTCCAGAAAGAAACATCCTCTGTACTCTCCTCAGGGCAGAGCTGCCCTGGGCTGGGAGTAAGGCTCTCACTGGAAGGCCACGCACGCCCTGCTGCCCCAGGCACCAGCACAATGCCAGCCATGCCGAGCTCCCTGTGTCTGGGCACGAAGGCAGCGCAAAGGGATGAACTACCAGACACCTAACACGGTCTTGGGAGAAATCCGAGCACACAGCTGGCAGAGCCTCTTCCTTGGAGGTTCCCTGCCCATACCCGCTGCCTGCTCTCCTTCCTGAGCCCCTTCCTAGCCCACAGAGGGGGAAATCAACTCCTGAGCAGGGGGCAGCATGCCATGACAATGCTGTGTTGCAGACAGACAGTAGAACTGTGGCTCAGAGCGCTGAAGGTTTCAGTCCAGGGACGGCCCTGAGGACCCCCATGTCCACTCCCAGAGTGACCAGCCGCTACTTGGTTGTGGAGCTGGCTTCTGCCACCCTCTGCATCGCCAGTCTCCTGGCCTCGGCTGGTCTGTGACAATGCAGTCCAGTGCAAGAGGAAGTCCTGGGGTTGTCCAAAGGCTGGAGAATGCAGCAGGAACAGGGAGGGAGGAGGACAAGTTGTACTTTTATGGAAAGCTATTTGCCCCTTGGCAGTCTGACAGGTAACAAGTGTGCCGGTCTCCACAGAGGCCCGGGAAGCTTCACCTTGCAGAACAGGTTGTGGCGCCAGGCTGTGCACACATCTGGAAGATTGACCTGTGCCAGGGGCAGGGGGTTCCCCTGCTGCTTGGGGGAGACTGACCATGGTGTTGTCACATAGGTTGCAGAACAAAACGGCAGCTGATGAAGTCCTTGCCAGCATCCAGAGCTACTTCAAGTCCCAGCCCTTTGACTTCAGGGGCGCTCAGATCATTTCCGGGCAAGAGGAAGGGATGTACGGATGGATCACCACCAACTACCTTAAGGGGAACTTCCTGGAGGTGCGTGGCTTTTCCTCCTGCTCCTGTCCTTCCCTCCCCAGGGCTCAGGCAGAGGTGAGGAGGGGGCTCCCTTGACTGGAGGCCACAAGGGCACTCATGGGGCAGGGGCTAAGAAAGGACGCCCTCTGCAGGTGGGAGGCCGGGCCATACACAGGGCGGAGTGTGGGGGACAGTGTCACGGTGGGAGTCGGGAAGAGGTCTAACCTCACAGTGCCTTCCTGAGGGCCTCCTGCCATCCGATCACTGTCCCAGGTGGAGAGGGAACCGCCTGTGTCCCCTCCCCAGTGTCCCCCAGCCCGACTCCTGCTCTCCCGCTCCTGGGCACACAGGCCAGCCACACAGCACGAAAGCATGGGCATCAGGCCACATGCTACTCAAGGCCCTTTGTCCCCCCTTAATTATTTTTAAATTTTAAGTTAATGACCATGATGAGTACTTGGGAAGATGTCACGTAGAAGCAGCACTGGGCTCCCTGTGACCTCTTCACACTCTTGACACTTGAGGAGCTGGCCCAGTGCTTCGTGGTCACAGCCAACAGCAATGAGGGCCCTTGGAGGGCCCCGGGCCCTGCTGCACACCGGCTGCTGATTGCCACTGTCCCTGAATGCTGCCCACTGCACTCCTAGCCACAGGACGCAGGAGGGCCGGGGGCCTGGGTGTGGGGCGGGGCGGGCCGCTCACGGCTTGTCCCCTGCAGAAGGACCTGTGGCACATGTGGGTGCACCCGCGCGGGGCAGGCACCTCCGGCGCCCTGGACCTGGGTGGCGCCTCCACGCAGATCGCCTTCGTGGCAGGGGATGCGGGGATGCTGAACACCAGCGATGCCGTGCAGGTGACTCTGTACGGCTACACATACACGCTCTACACACACAGCTTCCTGTGTTATGGCCAGAATGAGGCCCAGAAGAGGTTCCTGGCATCGCTCCTGCAGGTAGCTTGGGCTACTGGCGCTTCCTGGGGTCTGGGCATCGGTGGGGGCTCTGCCTGCCGTTTCCTCCTCCTGCTCCCTCGGGGTGGGGTGATGGCACCGGCTGAGGGCTCCTGGGCCAAGCTCTGCTCCCCACCCTCCTGTTCCTCTCTCTCCCTCACTGACTACGTCCGGTGACCCTGAGTGAGAAGTCCAAGGTGGGTTCCCGAGCTCCAGATGTTTTGTAAACGGTTTGTGACCTGGGGTCCCTTGGTGGACGCACGCTGTTTTCAGCCAGTTGTGAAAGAACCCTGAGAAGCTTGAGAGCCCTGGGCGCAGACAACAGGGCAGTGGCTGCCAGAGAGCTGCAGGGCTTGTGCAGTGCAGCCGCCCTGGGGTGGGCTGGGGCCGCTGGAGGCCCTGGGTGGACCGCGGTGCCTGTGCCCTGTGTCCACCAGAAGTCATATTTCTGAGGAAAATATAAAAGGCCAAATGGCACCTAAGGCACTGACAGGCCTGGTTTAAAAGAGGAGAGGAGAGGAGACACGTGCCCAGGTGTGGAGCGGACCCAGGAGGCCGCCCCAGGCCCCGGGGCGGTGGTTTCCAGAGCGAGCAGGAAGACAGTGGGAAAGAGACTTCTTCATAGTCGTTTCTTTGTACCTTTTGGATTACTTTCCTAGATAGGGGGATAGTCTATTCAGCATGATCCATTAATCTAAGATACCAGTTTTCTCAGAACCAAAGCAGAGCTGATGAGATCTGCTTCCAAGGCCTGTGAGGGACCCTGGGAGACGGGGTCCTGCTGCCCTCCCTGCCAGCCCAGTCCATCCACCTGCGTGGCTACGGACACCGAGACGTAGAGCAGCACTTTCGGGGCTCTGCTGGGCTGGGTCGCGAGGAGTAACCAATCCCCGTGCCTCCCTCCCGTGCCCGCAGAATTCTTCCAGTGGCACCCATGTCACCAACCCCTGCTACCCTCAGGGTTACCGTGTCACCGTCCCCATGGGCCAAGTGTTCGACAGCCTGTGCACGGCCCAGCAGAGACCGGCCACCTATGGTCCCCTCCGCGGCATTGCTTTTGAAGGAACCGGGGACCCGTGGCTATGTCGGGAGAAGGTGGCCTCCGTATTTGACTTTGGGGCCTGTCGTGGACAGGAAGACTGCTCCTTCAATGGGGTCTACCAGCCGAAGGTCCAAGGGCCTTTTGTGGTGAGAACAACACCCCAGAGAGGCTGGGCTGCAGTGTGGACAGCTCACCCTGGCCTGTGCCCTCCCGGCCCCGGTCCCCACGCTCTGCCCCCACCTGAGCCCCGCTCCTCCTGTGTTGTCTGCAGGCCTTCGCCGGCTTCTACTACACAGCCAGTGCCCTCAACCTCTCGGGCAGCTTCTCCCTGGACGCTTTCAACGCCAGCGTCTGGAGCTTCTGCTCCCAGGCCTGGGCTGAGGTCCGTGTCCACAGGTGGGGTCAGGGTCAGGAGGAAGTGTGGCGGGGCATGGTCCACCCCGCCCACGTCTGTGAAAGCCAGGGAGCAGAGAGCCCCTTCAGGCCCAGCTGTGCGCTGCTCTGACCACTCAGTGCACAGCGGTCAGAGCAGCGCCAGTGAGTCGGAGATGAGCATAGCTGTGCAGGACAGTTTAACTATCACAGAGCCCTGGGTGGTGAGATCTCTAAGGGCAGCTGTTGGCCCTGGGGTCCCGAGATGTGCATCTTGGGGTACCCACCTGCGCCTCCTCTCAGGGGCCCTAACTTCCTCGGCAGCTCCCTCTCCTGCTCCCCAAGTTCAACGAGGTGTACGCCCGCTCCTACTGCTTCTCCGCGCATTACATCTACCACCTGCTGGTGCATGGATACAAATTCACCCACGAGACTTGGCCCCAAATCCATTTTGAAAAAGAAGTAAGTCAAACCCCAAGTTCCTTTTTCCCCTCCTCTGAAAAGAAGCTCAGGTGCACATAAGGGGGAAGTAGAGGCAGAAGAGTTCGCAGCGTGCACCCTTGGACGCAGCTGGGTTGGCCGCACACTTCTCCGGGGAGAAGAGAGAGTGGGCACAGAAGGGTCATGGGGGACACGGGTCCCTGTCCAGAGGAGGAAGTGACGGGGCAGGGTCTCGGGGCCGCTCACTCCCAGGCCCAGTGCAGGGCAGGGACAGCAGGGGCAGTGTTTGCAGAGTGACCCTGCAGGTGTGAAGGACCTGGGACTTGTCCTGAAGAAAACCCTCCGCTGTAACTAACTTGAAGACGATAATAACAAGTTGTTCTCCGTTGTACAGATGTCAGAGTAAGATTACAGCTTGAGAGCAAGGATTTGCATCCATACCTTAGCATTAGTAAGAAGCTCCTCTCAAGGCGCCAAGGGCACTGTTTACTGACAGACTCCAGAGCACTGGGCTCAGCATTTCAAGTATCATTTATATGGGCACATGAATAATTGCCACATGTGGGAATCTGTAGGACAGATGTGACTGTTGTCAAGGACCAGGCTGCTTGCAAACTGGGCTGGCGGCAGTCCCCAGCCCTGCAGGACCCCGCCTGGTGAAGGTCTGACCAGCCCTGCCCTGTCCCGGGGGCTTCTCATGTCAGGAGGAGCGGATATAGGTCCAGAAACGTAGAGTCAGCCTGCTCAGTGCCAGCCTCAGTGACCGCTAGATCCTGCATGAGGCGGGGTGACTGTTTTCACATGAGTAAAACTGAGTCGTCGACAGAGCATAGCGAAGTCTGGGGACGCAGCAACGGTGGTGTTGGGCACTGTCTGAGCTCCACTTCTGACAGACCCGTCGCCAGGAGGCGCTTCGAAGAGCACAGTGCGTTTCCATGCACAGCGGCTGGACTAAGAGATGTCCTGAGTTAAAGCTCTTTTCCTTTAATCGTAAGGAATTATATCCACACTCCGGGGACAGTGGCCCACACCTGTCACTCCACTGGCTGACACTGAAAGGTCATGAGTTTGAGAGCACCCTGGGCTACATAGTGAGATCCTGAGTCAAAAAGAAAGTTTTTAAAAAAAAGAATCTGTGTCTAGCCAGGTTACTACTTAAATATCAGGGTCTAAAAAGACTGGAAATTTTGCCACACAGAGACTTACACTGAAAGCATTTGTTTGGAAGTAATAACCAGATAAGAGAAATAAAACCAGGAGATGTTACAAAAATATAGAAAGTGCAAATAAGTAGTATTAAAAAAGAAAACTAAAAGAAAAATAGAAGACAAAAAATCCATCCATACAAGACACAGCAGCCTACAATTCTTGTTAAAAGGAACATACAGAAACTATTTTGAAGGCAAGAATGGAAAAAAAGGATTAATACAGCAAAATAACACAAATGGAAATTGTTAAAGTAATTTACTAGAGAAAAGTCCAAATGTATCAATAATATCAATAATCATGAACAGGCTGAACCTATCAGTTAAAAGACAGGCATCATCTGAGTTTTAAAACTTGAATCCATTGATCTCTGACATAAGGATACAGAAGCATTGAAAGTAAGAAAATATTTTTTACTTATTGGGCAAACACTACCCAAAGAAAGTAAGTGTTTTGTTTGGGAACAACTTGTTTCGAAAACAAAAGTTTGGCAAAATTTTGTTTTTGTTTGCAAACTGCATCCGAAGACAAACACGACAGTGGCCATCTTTTCCAGAATCGTGGAACAAATTAAGTTTGCGAACCGAGGTGCCACTGTACCTGGCAAAATAGTCTTTACAGTGAAGAGCATCATCATCTGAGGTAGACAGGGTCACAGCCTGCTGATAGAAGGTTCGATTCTCTTACGAAGACCGCAGGTTCAAAACTTCTAGACCCTAAAGGCATGTGCAGCCAGAATGAATGGCACCGGTGGGAGAAGCTGCAGGGTCCACTTCCGCGGCCCCTGTCCTTCGAGGCTAGTCCCTCAAGCTGCCCCTGTGCTGCCATCCCTCTCCATGGTGCTGAGGGAGCTGGTCCTCCCTGGCCCTGGGCGTCCGATGGCGCAGGTCCCCAAGGGGCCTCTCGGCTGGGCGGTGTGTGCCCCACGTTGCTGGGCCACACCACGCCAGGCCTGAGCCCTGTCCCTCCCTCCCAGGTGGGCAACAGCAGCATAGGCTGGTCGCTTGGCTACATGCTCAGCCTCACCAACCGGATCCCGGCCACCAGCGCCCTGGTCCGCCTGTCCATCCCGCCTCCTGCCTTCGTGGGCCTCCTCACCTTCTTCTCGGCCATCCCCTTGATGAGTCTGGCCTTCCTGGCCTTCCTGTGCTCTGTGTCCAGGACAGAGAAGCGCTCCGAGCACCCTCTTAAGCACACCGTGGACCCAGCCACCTCCCAGAGCTCAGCGGCAGCCGGTGGCTGGGCCACGGCACTGTCGGGCGCTGACTGCCGCCAGCACAGCCCTGCGAGCCCCCCACTCTCTGAGCCCCGCTCCTCCTGCCCCTGCCACCCTGGGAGGGGCATAGAGGCACCTGGTCTGGGCCAGGACCTTCCCCCACTTCCCCACAGCAAGGGCGTGTGGGAAATGCAAGGGTTTGGTGGGGATGCTGAGCAGGGCTGAGTCTCCACTTCCTCCTCGGTGTCCCTCCTGGCAGGGCAGACGCCCGGACTAAATAGTGACCCATCGAGCATTGCTTGGGGGCTCCAGCCATGGGGACCACAGCATGGGCTGGGGCAGTGGCTGGGCCCTTCATCCACCGGGACCTGAGGCCCAGGGACCAAGGTGCCCCCTCTGTCCTCGGATGGGCAGCACCCACTGGGCAGGGCACCTCACCTTGCCCCTGGGTCCTGCTCACTCCCACACACACGCTCACCCTGGGGACACACTTGCCCGGGATTCGCTCACCAGTCAGAGCAGCCTGGGCCTTGACTCGGGAGAGAAAAGGAGGCGGCAGGGACGCTGGCCTCCAGAGCGGATGAGAAGGGACGTCAAGGGCAGCAGCCGCAACAGCGCCGAAAAGCAGCGTTTTCAGGTTGCTGTTTGGTAGCGATGTACTGAATAAAGAACCCCTCTTCTGCCCTGCAATGTTCGTGTTAACGTGAGCATGCCGCTCGCTCCTCTAGGGGCCCAAGGCGATTTCCAAGAGATTGAGTGAATTAAGAGAACAGGCGCGAGTATCCCGTCACTCCAGAGCCCAGAGGCCTTCACTTGGTTAAAGTCCGGTGCCTTGAGGTCATCAGGCCACCATTCCCCTTCCTTGCCTGACTCAAACCCTCTGGGCCACAACCTCCCCTGGGGCCTCGACTCCCACTCAAGCTGGGCCCAAGCTCCCTAGACTCAACAGCGGCTCTTCGAGGTCCAGTTCCACAAAGCCTTCCTCATACACACACCTCTCTCTGTCCCACGGACCACTTTCCAGAATGAGTCCAGGGTATTCTTACATTATTTTTGTCTGTGAGTAGCTGACTTCTCAATCAGCCAGTAGATGACTGCAGGCCGGCCACACCTCACTCATTACCCCGAAGACTGGAATCAACACCCTCGAAAACCTCACGCCTGTGGCTGTGATTTGGATCTGGGCTATGCCATGAGCGCAGAATTTGCACGGATTTATTGACTGGGTCGTTTCCATACCTGACAGTGGCCGGCGACATCAGATGATGTCAGCACCCAGCTCACCAAGAGCCTGCAAGGAAAGGTGTGAAATAAGTAAGACACACGTGTAAATACCAAATAGTTTCTCTAGATGAGAAAGAGACTGTAAATAAGGATTAAAACGATTAGAATGAATAATTCATAATTTGAAATAGGAAGGAAAGGCCCAAAGGGGCAGGGGAAGGGGGCCGGGAAGGAAAAATTATGAGAAAAGAAAAAAAGTGGACACAAAGGCTTTGTAAATAGGGAAGGGCGCACAGGGAATGGGGAAGAAGTAAGAACCAAGATGCATCACGTACAGGTTCCAGCTCCCAATGATGAATGTAAACATATCGTACACCTAAAATGCAACAATAAAAGAATTTAAGAAAAGAAAAAAAGCAAAGGTGTGGTGGAGGCCAGAGGGCCGGGCAAATGCAGCCAGGCCTCAGCGCCGCCTGGTCTTCCGGGTTTCTGGAGCATCAGTCTCACGCTGCAGGTCAGGGCGCTCGGCACTCCGGGGTGTCCCCAGCACTATGCCCCATGCTGCCGCTGTGGCCTTGCCCAACCACAGTCACGGAGCAGGGAGTCTGCAAGTGTGTCTGTGAGCCCTCCTCCTTAGAGCAGAGCTCTGCCATGTAGGGCTCATCTCATCACGGGAGTCACGCATGGCAGAGTGGAAGTCAGGTTCAGGCATAGAAAGGATTCCACATGCTGTTGTCAGCTTGAGGCTGGAGGAGACTGCGTGAAAACAGACGCAGGGAGCTGGTGTGGTGGTGCACACCTGGAATCCCAGCCCCTGGGTGTAGAGCGGAGGGACTGAGGCAGGAGGACTGCTGTGAACTCAAGGCCAGCCTAGGCTAGAGAGACGCTGTCTCAAAAAAAACTCGGGATGGGCCGGGGATTTAGCTCAGTGGTTTCGCCGCCTGCCTCGCAAGCGCAAGGACCGGAGTTCGATCCCCGGTACAAGAAAAAAAAAACAACTAGGGGTGAGGGGCGCTGCCCAGCCAGAGCAGGGCTGCACGAACCAGGCTAGGGGAAGCACACTGTGGGGCCCGGGCCTGGCTCGGGACATCACACGCCACACTGGCATCCTCCCAGTGACAGCCGTGCCGGGCTGAGGCTCAAGCCCATTAGAGAGGTGGAGGAAGGAGAGGGAGGGAGAGAGGGAATGATGACAGCATGTGCAGGCACCAGCACCCCCACGAATGTGACCACCAAGCACTGCAAATGTGGACTGATAAACATGAATGTTTGCACGCTGTCCACACAGGCAGCGGCACAGGCACCAGGAGTCTGGCTGGGCATCTGCGGTCTGACGCCCGGGACAGGCAGAGGTGTCAGCCAGGATGTGGGAAAACTCAGAACCTCGGTCTCTGTGTTGAGGAAAAGTGAACTTTGAGTCCTTCCTTACACACATGGTTTGCAAGAACCATGTCCGGGCCAGTTAGAGGCCTCGGTGTGAAAGATAAACCTTTAGTTTAAAGGTTTCAGAAGAGAGTGCAGGGGAATCTCACGGGATCCTGTGTAAGAGACCGGGATCAACACTTGGTCTGCTGGAGTACACTGAAATGAAGGAGACTGTTTGTCAGAATCATCATGAAAACACCAAAAAGACAGGCCACCAAGTGGAAGGAGGCCTCTGCAGCACGAAGAACTAGTAAAGGATTGGTTTCCAAGTCACCTGCAGGATTCCTCAGACCAACGAGGAGAGGCAAGCGGCCCACCGAGTCTGCACCGCCAGCGGTGACAGGCGCTGCAAGAGCAGAGATCCGGGGTCCACGGAACGTACGCACCGCTCACCTCACTAACAGAGCAGACCGGTGCCTGTGCAGACCGCCGAGGCAGCACCTGACACCTACTGGTTTGGGGAAATTTAAAAGTTGGGGCCTGGGGCGTCACCCAGCAGCAGGGTGTGTTTCCGCGTGCACTGGGCTCGGGTTCAGTCCCCAGCTGCCTGGCAATGCCACGTGTTAGGATGTGGAACAGCTGGATGTCTCCACACTGACGGGGGGAGGACAATTAATACAACTGCTCTGGAAGACTGGACTGTTGAGAAAAGCAGGAGGTGCACACACCAAATGATCAGAAGTTCCAGCCCAAGGCATCTCCGTCAGGGACACACATTAGGCCAAAGTACACGCCTGAGAATCCTTCTGAGGGCAACCTAAGTGGCCACCGCATGAGGTGTGTGAATACACTGTGACAAGATCTATGAGACACCATTCGCTAGCAAAATCAAAAGAGCTGCAAACACCTGCTCGATGTGGATGGAACTCACGAACAGGCCCTGGGTTCAATCCCCGGTACCACCAACAGGAAGTCTCTTAATTCGATGTATGCAGTGCACTAAAACAGGCATAACAAAACACAGACTGCAGACTGCAAAGAGAAGTGAAGAAGTTACCTCTCTCAGGTCTAGGGGAAGACAGGGCTTGTGTTTAGAGAGAGACAACAGGTGTCGGTCTGCCTGGATGGCTGCACCAGATGCTCCGCGTCTGTTGGCTCACAGAGGCCGGCACTTTCACAGGCCTGGAGGTGCTGGGGCTCAGCTTCTGCTGAGGCCTCTTTCTGGTGCCAGGTCCCCACGTGGCCTTGCACTGGGGGCTCTCCAATGTCCCCTCGTATCGGGGTACCCCTCCCATGACCCCATCAGTGGGCTCTACCCTCAAGACCTCATGGGGTCCCAGTCACCTCCCAAAGCCCTACCTCCAACACTGTCAGGTGTGGGACAGAGCTTCAACATTCGAATCTGGAGGACACATCCAATCCATAGTGACAGGGCTGCGGGGGACAGCGCCACTCTGTACCTAGGTAGTGGCTACAGGGAGGGACCCCCTTTACAACCACTGACACACTTCCTGTGTCCTGTATGCTACTATAAAGTTATGTAGTCCCAGTACTTGGGAGGCTGAGGCAGGAGGATCATAAGTTCCAGGCCAGCCTGAGCTACATATTGAGTTCCTGTCTCAAAAAAACTTTTAAAAACTTAATCAAGTTACAGATCTAGATTTACTCAAGAACTGGCCACTTTGTACTTTGTGGTTTTCATAATGTTGTTCCATCTCTTTGAGCCTTGATTCCTCATATATAAAAAGGATGGTGTCACCTCATGGATGGTTAAGAGCAACACGGCCCTGAGCTGTGCCTGGTACACAGCATGGCCAGTAAATGCAGGTCGGGGAGTCCATCATCCTGGCATTGCCAAAGGTCTGGCGACAAATGTCCTTCCTCTTGAAACTGTGGGGCTTGAAGGCCCTCTGCTGGAGCCGGGGAGAAAAATCCTTCCAGGCTGAGTCTGGGTTTTGCTTATTCCTAAAGATGCTGGAAAAAAAATCATTAGTTCAAAAATACCTTTAGGGGGACCTGGGGGTGGAGCGCTGCCCTGCACACAGGAGGCCCTGGGCTGCATCCCCCGAGGAGAAATTATAAATGTGTTCTGTATGTGTGTATGATGCGAACTATATACCGCATTTGAAATATATTCATAACCATGTATTACTGAATTCATAATACTACATTATAAATAAGGAGGCAGCTGGAAATGTGACTACTCAGGGTTAAAAGGAATGGCTGCTAACTCTGCTGAGGTGAGGTGACATGGTGTGGCTTTTTCCAAGAACACTTAGTGCTGAGACGCTGGCCGCACTGAGACCCCAGCGGCCCTTCCATGCCGTTCTCAGTCTGCCGTCTCTTGACCCAAGATCCAAACCCAGACTGACCCACGGATCCCATCTGGAAATCCCTGCACGCTGCGTTATAAAAGGAAGCGAACCAGTTGCATCTAAACTATATGTGAGCACAAAGGGCCAAGAGGTGCCCAAGTGTCCAGAGCTGGAGCTGTGTTCATGTAGAGACCTGTCCGGGAGCAGACACAGCCGCTGTGTGGAGCAGGGCTCTAACATGGACAGATGGACGGACAGACAGAAGAGCGGTGGACGGATGAGAATTTCCAGCTCAGGAGTTTGTACAGGAAGCCTGCTTTCTGCATAAGCCAAGCAGGTTCTTTTAACGTTACACAATTTCTTCTCTAGGAATATGCAATTGGTAAAATTATTTTTAAAAATTTAGAAGTAAATTACTATTTCATCCTTTTTCTTTTTTTTTTTTTTTTTGGTACTGCTTGATATGCACAGGTCCTTGCGCTTGCACAGCAGGCGGGGAAGTTATTGTTAGAGTACTTTTTTTTCATTAAGTTTATTGGTACATTTTTGGTATAAAATACAGTTACATTCATCGTTGGGATTTTGTACCTTTACATGAGTATCTTGGTTCTCATTTTTTTCCCCTTCCCTTGCCCTCCCTTCACCCCCTCCACCCTTCCCTATTT